AAAAGTGTTCTCTTTTTTTGTGAATGTAATAGCAGAGTTTTGTACTATAGGGCTGAAAACCACACATGGGATGAGGGCCTAAGCTAGCAGGTTCATAGACTGATTTTTTGAAGTGAACTTGAGGTTAAGAATTGACACGGGTTCTTTGGAGACATCTCTTGATGTGTCTTGTACTTTACACAAGATACTGCACTCATTTAAACTCAGTCTCAGTCACATCTTTTACTAGCCTGGTTGTGTATCTCTGTAAATAATGCTAAATTATTGAGGTCTGTGATACCAAATCCTTACAAGTGATATGGGAAAATTTTAGACGTTTAGAAAAGACTCTGGCATTTCAAGGTATATTTTCCTTTGCATATGATTGAGTATGAACCTCTTGGATCTTCCTCATAACAGTTTTAACTACTAGGTGTTGACATCTAAGTGACTTAAGAGTTTGATATTTCAGAAGGCTCCTTCTTAATCAACTGCTGGTTTATATGCTAGTCATACTAAAAAGCCAATATAATAATCTGTCACTGATCAGAAAATCAATGTGTGTACAATATTTTAAAAATAAGGCATTGTACATGGAGCTTTAACCAGGTTAGATCAAATGTGGATGAGTCAACAGGTTTTTAGCTTCTCAGTGCAGTGATTTTGCTTGCCATTTTTCTAGCCTACATAAGAGAAAAATTTTTTTAAATGAATGCAGTCGTAATGGCTGCAAAACCACAACAGCGTTAGAGGTGTGAAAATGATTTCTGAACAGGGCTGACCCAGATGTTTTTAGAGATAAGCGTATGCTATGGATATTTAAGTTATCAAAACATATGAGTCAGTAAAAATATTCACTGTTCTACAGAGTTAAAGGGCATAAACCATCTCTTTTTCATTTTAGAAGCAGGTATAATTTGGGGTTATGACAATGGGTTTTCTTCTGCTAGTTAGGAGTTTTACAGAGAGCAAATGCTTCCACAATTAATAAGACTGATGGTCAAATATGACTCGGCTTCCCCTTAAAGCTCAGAACCTGCAAAACACTTGAACACATAGAAAAGTTGAAATAAATATGGGGATACTCACATATTTAAGATCATAACCATAATCATGCTATTAATTGATTTAGGCCAAGTTGTCCTTTCTAGCATTTCTTATATCTCCTCTAAGACATACAGTTTTGGACAACACTGGAGGCAGGAAATTAAAAGTGAGGATTTTGACTGCTGTTCTTATCCAGCAGGGCAATTTCTGTTTCCCAACTCCTCTAGATAGTCTTCTAAATAATATTTTCAAAGCAGCAAATGTTTCAAAAAGCCCCAAAGAGATTTTACATTGCCAAGTGCTTGTGAAAGCAGGAAGTGAAATAGGGAAATCTTTGCTTATCAAACCACTTGTTTTAAGTTGCTCAGTTTTGCCATATTAAGCACCACTTTTGGACTACATCCACATGGGAAGTATAACAAAAGTATACTACACCTAATTCACAAGATTTTCAGCTGCATACTCTTTTTTTTTTAAGAACCTGTGTATCAGTTACTTTCTGGGCTTTGTATATGCTTTTAAAGTGGGTAACTACATCAGTATAAGCAGAAATTGGGTAATTTCAGCATAAAATGACAAATATATGCATTTATTTTTTAAAGAGAAAGGAAGGTACATGCAAAATATTCTAGATAGACTGGCTTTTTTTTTTCCTTCTAGAATACCTTTATGAAAATATTTTTATATTTTATGCCGCTCTTGACAAGAACTTTCATTTGGCCCCTAAGACACCTTGCCTTTAAGAAGTTACTTTCTCTGGAGGGCTTTGATGCCAGGCAGGGTATGTGTCTTGACGAGCCCTGCAGGAACAATGTGCAACAACCAAACGTGCACAAACACAATGACAAGCCTTCTGAGAGGCATGACAAAAAGCAGCCCTGATCCTTTGCAGTGTTCTCTTCTACAGCATGGACCTTTCCAAGCAACAAGCAGCTGCCGAAGGGAAGAGGCGGAACTTATGGTGGCCCAGTGGATCAGCAGCTTATCAAGAGTTTCTAACACTTCACTGAGAAGGGACCACACTTCAGCACAAGAGAACATGACAGATTTCAGCTACAGTAGTAAACTGTGATCCACGTTCAAGGAGATAGTAGAAAACACAGTATTTGGCAGCACTGCTGGTGCGTTCAATTAAGGACTCGGCCAACAGATTGTAAAAATATTTTGTATTATACAATCCATTAAAGTTGGTTAACTGTTTTGTGTGTTAAGACTTCTTTATTCTTTCCCCCCTGCCCCCCCCCCCCTTTTTTTTTTAGAAAAACCCAGGAGAACCAAAAGGAAGAGAAATTCCTTTTCATAACAGGTTGCTATGATGCTGAAAGAGCAGGCAGGACAAATTCAGAGTTTTACAAGTGGACTAAGAACCAGAATCATCAAATAACACGGGACCATCAAGATAACTCCAGGCTTAACTGCTTGTCACCGAAAGGGTTGTTTCTTCACCAAAAGGGTTGTCAGGCTCTGGAATGGGCTGCCCAGGGAGGTGGTAGAGTCCTCATCCCTGGAGGTATTTAAAAGAAGGATAGATGAGGCGCTTAGGGACATGGTTTAGTGGTGGGATGGCAGGGTTAGGTTAAAGGTTGGACTCGATGGTCTTAAAGGTCTTTTCCAACCAAAGTGATTCTATGATTCTATAATAATCTAATAATAAAATGGTTGTCGTCACATTTGGTTTTGTTTATTTTTACAGATGGGAGAAGCACTATCGCACACAATTCACTCTGATCCTAGAAGATTAAGTGGTTTTAAAATAAATAAGCATACAAAATAATTTTTAGTGTGTTTGGGATCTGCCCTAGTGACTTAAAATTACAGTAGACTTGTGCACACACTTCTCTTCAGTTCTTATGATTATGGTGCCATCGTGTGGCCACACTGTAAGGTTTCATGCTACCGAACATCACTGCCCTGGCAATGTTTTTGGTGCTTTCCTTTCTAAGCATTTCTTTTCCTAAGAGGATCTTCTGTCAAAACGACTACCTCCACTACGAGCAGCATCAACATTATGCAAACAGCAGCAAGCCTTAGAAAACACTCACGGCCACTAAGAATGGAGGCCCATTAGATGAGTGGGCATGGTCACCTTTTAATGGTTCAGGCAGATGCAATGGTGTGATATGGGAGAAGGGAGGCTTGTTTTAGTTCCCGCACAAGTTTCGCATGCACCCATGTTGTGCAGATTCCAGCCCATCCGCTCTGGAAGGAGAGCATTTTACATTCTTGTCCGTAGATTTGAAGTTACAATAAAAATACATACCCTCCCATATTGCCTTTGGAAAGACAGTAAGGATTGAAACCTGGGTGGAAATGGAATGCTCACACTTACAACCTCCCCCCAGACCCTGCCAGCTGTGATACTGGCCTCCCCATTGCCCCCCAGCAGAAGTCGGCAGCACCAATACCCCAAGTGAGCCCCCTTGACGGATTTAGGGGTCTTTTTGAGAGTAGGTGTCAGGTGTGGGCGATGCCGGGACTAGGGAAGCAGCCTTTCTTGCCGCCTCCTATGGCAGCAACAACCCCCTGACCGGAGAGGAATCTTCTCCAGCTTACCGCTCACTAGGGCCGGCCTGAGCACCCTGCTGTCTTCAGCTGCGCCCTGGCCCACCACCGCCACACGGGGGGGTAAAGCTGTGGGGACTGCACCGGCAAGTAACGGGTTGCGGTACGCCGTAGGGGTGCAGGAGCGGGAGCGGGAGGAGGCGGCGGCGGCACGGTGAGGAGGCCGGGCACGCCCGCCCGTCGCCC